TCGATGCCAATTTTTTTCTTAACAATAGAGATTATTTGAGGAAAAAAAAAACGCGCGATTAAAGCGTTATTATTCGAGGAAACAATGTTTCACAGTTACTAGAAATTGCGAGACTAGAGAAGTTATCGAGACAGCCTAAGCCAGTTGAATACAATCGATAAAAGTGAACCGTGCGAATGATCGTAAAATTCCACCGTTATTAATTGGCCTGTTCTCACAATCAGATTACCGGGTTAAACAAGATTTTAATTTTTCCCTCGTTTTCCCTTGAATTGTGTTGGATGTAAATTTTTTGAATCGTGCCAATCAAATTAGCAAGTATCGTTACGATGCATTTAATTTGCTCTAATAATAGCAGAGGGACATATTACATCGCGTTTAATCCGAATAATGACATATCGTGTCGAACGAAATCATCCGATCGAGATTAGTAACATCGATAATAATAACGATGCAACGATTATGATGGAACGTGAATAAAAATTTCTGAAGAAAAAGTTCTCGTTCTGTTTCTGTCAAATTCAAGCCAGAGTAAAAAATTGAACGTTATAAATATAAAACTGGATATTTTTCTTCTTGAATCGAGACGGAAAAAGTTCGATAAATTTTTCCATTCTTTTTTCTATGTAGCTACACAGAAAATGATCGTTTGAGTAAAATGAAAAATTGTTTCAATCGCGGTTTTTTTTTGATTCGTGATAGCGAGAAAAATATGAGATTGACTAAAAAAATTGTCTCACATGTTCATCTGTACATAATACTCGCAGCAATATGGCTTTCCGAAGCGAAACTGCCTGTGTCTTTCGGAATTCGTCGTTAAAGTTGTGTAAAATTAAAAGCAAAAGTATCGTTCTTCTTAAGATCCGATGATACGATCAAATAACTCGAGATTCGATGTTATACGTTTGGCATTTATGCAAAACAGCAATAAAACAATAACAATTTAATGCTAAATTATTATATTATTTTCTTTACTATTTCTCATCGTTCTTAACGTTTTTCTGAAAATCTCTTTACATGCTCTGCTCGTAAAATAAAATACGAAATTGTAGATTTGTATTCCAATCCGATCGCCATTCTCTTTTCACTTAAAACATTCTCTAAACATTTCTTGATACACCGCATACTTGATAAATTGCAATTCCAACTTTTGCATTATCCACGAGCACTTGTCCACACACTAATTTGCGTTATTTAATCTTCTGTATTCGATATATCGATACGAAAGAGAGAAAGCGACTCGTTGACAATGATCGTCACGATTCAATGACACGAGAAACGTGTACGCTCGGTACATATCGAATCGCGAGCGGAAAAACGGGCGATCTGGAACGGACGCGGAACAGGAAACAACGGGAGAGGGAGGTTCGAACAGAGTCCAGGTTCGAGAACGAGCAAAACTGTAGATGCACGGCCACTAGCCCGTAACACGTTCGATATTATCCAATTAAAAGTAATACCGTCCATTTTTCTTCCGTTAGACCGTCCGCCATATTGCCAGACCCGGTCGATCAAGAGATTTCCATGGAAAATGAGAGGCGGAATGCGACACTACTCCCCCTGCATGGTATAGTTTCGCCGCGCTCCTCTCCTAGTTAGCGGCTCGCGCAGGAAATGAAAAGTTTCGAGCGAGTTTGCTCGGACCCATTGTTGCCGGCTGGATGCCAATCCAGGCCTCCAGGTTCAATTGGGCAGCCGAGGTAACGAACCTCCACGATCGATCGATAATGCAGATGCATGGGATTGATGCGACGAAGCCGTTTATGTTTAATGGAATCCACGATTGCTTTAAACGGTCGCGTTCATTCTTTCGTTACGAAATCGAGAGATTCTATCGATGTATCATCATTCAATGGATAGAAATTTTTAATGGGGAATTAATTTTAAAAAATGATTTTAATTGCGCGATATATATAGTGAATTTTTTTCTCCTAGATTCTTTTGTCGTTTTGTTCGAACGGGACACGTGTCGTTACGAAACGGTTATGTGAAATTTTTGCACACTTTTTTTTTTTTTTTTTTTTGCCCTACTACTTGCACTCAGCGGAAATTCCAGATAAAAGTAGGCGCATGCCTTCGTACCGATTGCACGGAATGGAGGAAATACGAGGATAATTTATTACGATATATCGCGTTATTTCCAATAAGAACGAGAAGAAAAATACAGAAGAATCTTAAGGGTACGAACGTTAGCGAAAAGAGTATTTTCGTATTAAAAATGAGATCAATTTTCAGAATTATTTATTATAATTGTGGTGGATATTTAGAAACCGGTTGAAAGGAGATCGAAAGGAGGAAAAAAGACCTTGGAAATCTTTGCTCGCGAAGTATTAAAAGAAACATAAGTCAAATAAAAATTATAGGAGGTCGAAGATGACGATATTTGGCTAGATCTAATTTGCATTCTTCTCGAGAATGGCGCGAAGGTGAACGAGAATGAAACTCGTATCAAAACTGGAAACTGTTTAAAGGAGATTCGAGGAAGGAGCAGCAACGCCAGAAATATCATTCTAGAAACTTCCTTCTTACGTATTTTTTTTTTATATACTCTTCCAAGACAAAACATATATACATATACATATGTATATATATATNTTCCAAGACAAAACATATATACATATACATATACGATCGATAGATCTCTCTAGTATATATTAATTAACGTATTTATTCCTTCGATTGAAGATTATTTAAATGTCGCCTGTATCATTATCAACTGTAATAAAAACTTTCAAATTATGCACGTATTTAAATACGGGAATTAATTTATTCTTGTCACGTATCGTTATTGTAAACAAGCGACAATACTTGACCTTCATCTTTAAGTAAGTACTAGCTAAGTCAATGAGAGGTTAAAAAAAAAAAAAAAAAAAAAAAAGGAAAGTTAACTCTTAGACATCGTCGAGGCACCTTTCGATGCACTCTATAGACCACAAAAATTGATGATGATAAAAATATCGAATCTTAAAATCTTAGCGATTCTAAAACGTAAAAAAAAAAACCTAACCTAACCTAACCTAACCTAAACCTCCACCATAAAAAGATTAAAAACTCGAAAGAAAATCGAGGACATCGTCAAAATCATCGATTAAACAATTGTTTTCGAGTTCAACGAACGAAAAAACCGTTCTAAATGTCAGGCGATAATTCCTCGCCTGATAAGTCGATGTCTAATCTCTTCATACTATTATTCCACGTAGCGTATGGGGAGAGGGAGGAGGTATCGATGCGCATTGCATTCCTTTCGTTACGAGAGAACGGAATCTCGATCGTAAACGGGTCATAAAACGCGACGGGAAATAAAAAGAAAAAAAAAAAAAAAGAAAGAGGGAGAGAAAGGAAGGAAAAGAAATTAGACAAAATGTCAACGCGAATTTCCCCAGGAGCGACGCGTGGTGAGAGATTAAAAAGAAAGAAGCATTGCGCGGTGCAACGACCGGACATAGGCGTATACGGAGGGGGGCTCCTACTTTCTCTGCATACCTTCGCCTCGGACTGGGTCGGCCTTAATCATCGTGAACGCCATTATTACGGTACGTTTATTCGCAACCGCCTTATTTCGCCCGCGATTAATTAATTCCTGTCCCCCCGACATTTTTCCTAATTCCATCCCTATTAATCCCCAAAGTCGCGCGTTTTTATTTTAAAACGATTCCCCTGTGATTTTCGTTTATCCGATTTTTAGAATTTTTTAATCTCGATTGACTTCTGTACTACACTTGTCCTCATAAGTCGTAAAAAAATAAGTAAATAAATAAATAAATTGGATCGATAATTGGAATGTTATTACGTAAGTTGTTTTCGCTAAACAATTTATTAACGGAATAAAAAGTAATAAGTAAATAAAATTTAATTCACGGTAAACGAGGTAATTCGAAAAAAGAAATAAGCGCTCGAAATAAGAAATGATCTAATTTTTCGAGAACCTGGCCGGGGAGAAATTGCGATAATAAATGGATAAAAACGGAAAAACTCGATGCCCGATGACAATGAGTCATTTTTTTTATTTTAAGAAACTCCGTAGTTTTATGTAACTAAATCGATACGGTATTCTTAGAAACGATTGGTATAGTCATTTCACGAGCCATCATGGTTATCGTTCAGATAGACGAGAGGAAGAAGTTGAAATTAATGAAATTGTTCTATATCATGTATATATATATATATATATATATATATATATATATATAATTTGTTAAATTTGCCACATCCGACGCCAATCTCTCGAAACATTTAACGACGATTAAAAGATAATCAATCGAGAATCGAGTTAAAAAAGGCTTGTATCGCGTCCACGTATCATATCTCGAATGCAATTACGACCCCCTTTTACGAGGCTTGGCGGCCGCTTTCGATTCACGCGGCCAAGTTTAACGATAATAAACGGGCGAAAAGTCGAATTTATATTTATAGCCATATAGGCTCCTTCTTTTTCAGGTGGCCGTTCCCGGTACTAATGGATCCAACGCTATGATTGCGCCAGTTAACCTTGCGCTCGACCAGGCTAACTGCAAGAAGTATTGCGCACTTCCGGCTGCTCGCTCGTCGCGTGTCTCGCGAGCTTCAGAAATATGCGCGCGCCTCCTCCCTACACGTCCTCCTCCCCGCATAATCTTTAATTGCCGTTTCGTGAACAGGGAGGAGGGGGGAGCGGAGAGGTAGGGATGGCGGATCGCACGATTATTTTACCCGTGCCAGGTCTTTTCACGTTGAAGGAATCGATCTCTCCGTATTGTATACATCTATCAGTCATCAGAAGCTATTTATTTATCTAGGTAATCGTAACGAATACCAATTCAACGTTGTTCTCTCTACAAGACGTTGGAACAATTTAAAAAAAAAAAAAAAGGAAAATAATAAGAAGGAAACAATTGATGATCGAGACGAGGAACGAAAGGCGAATTTATTACGAAGTCGTACGCGCCGCGAAAACGCTTGTCAAGTGAAGAGTAAAAAAAGAAAAGACAAAGGAAATCAGATAAAAGGTTTTATTCGCTCACCTTTGGCCCATCCAGTGAGAACGTTCCCAAGATAAGCGACCTTGTAGCAGGGGTCGTACTCGGTGATCGAGGCATTGCCACGATGCCTCCTCCAAAGCCTGCCGAGCCCCCTCTTCAAGGACCTGAGCGTCTTCTGGCCGAATTCTTTCCCGCCAGTCGGATTCTGCGCCGTGCCCTCCACGCTGTTCTCCTCCTCGATGGGATCCGCGACCACGTCGCCCATCGTTTTCATCCTTTTCTCTCCCGAATAGGCGCGAAAATATCTCTATCTCTTTCTCTCTCTCTCCCTCTATCTATCTATCTCTCTCTCTCTCTCTCTCTGTTCCACGCACACGACTACTCCGCTACTCTGCGCACAGACACGTGGAACGATACATAACAAAGGAAGCGCGCGCCGTTTGAAGAGGGCGATGGTGGTCGGATCGTTGCGAAAAATCGCTACATCTCGCGACTTTTCGTGCAACCGAAGAAGAAGAAGAAGAAGAAGGAAGAAAGGAGAAGAAGGAGAAGAAGAGGAAGGGTGGAGGAGAGGGAGATTGCAAAGGAGAGCTCTCGACCTTTCAGGGTCCTGTGGCGGCGGCGGCGGCGGCGGCGGCTGCCGCTGCTGCTTCGAGTTATCCAACACAACCAGGTGGATGAGCTCTATCGAGGTCACGACCGGTGCCGGTGATCGAGAGAGCTTGTGAAACTCGAATAAATCTCTCTCTCTGTGCGATGCCGAGTCCCCCCCCTCCCCCCGCTCTTCCGAGATTACTACTACTACTACACAAGGCGGCGCACAACCACCGACCACCGGCCCGTTGTGTTTCCACACCTCAAGGCCGACCTCTGCCAGTTATTCTCACGTACGATGGCGGAGAAGAGGTGGTTATTCTCACGAAAAACCGGGGAATATCTTCCGGAATATCCTTCTTCCGCCCCTTCCCGCCGAGGATAAGCACGACGAACAATGTCCTTCTCTTCGCCCGTTCCTGAAACAGAGAGGTTCACAAATATCTTTGATTTCGGCGGATACGATTTCCCCGCGTTTCTCGTATAAATGTATAAACAGAGAAGATAGTATATGCTACGTTATATTGGAAGTGGTCGAGGTAGGAGGTCAAGACTGGTTACGAGTTATTTTTATATATACTCGTGTCGAGTCTCCCAAAGTGTAAGTCTTAAAAAAAAAAAAGAAGAAGAAAAAATTTTGCGTATGCTTTCTTTAAGCGTAATGTAATAAAGAAGAAGCTTAGTCACGATTGATAATTATAAAATGATCGTAACTATACTCCTGCATTGGACGTTAACGGTAATTATATCGTTGGCAATATTTTCCAATTTTTCTCGAACGTATCGAGTCGTAAATGAATATACTGTTCGAGTTAGGCGAACAGGTGCGAAACCGGTATACCGTTCGGAAAATACATTGATAATATGTATATATATATATATATATATACATATATAGTGAACGTAACTTTCCTCTTCCATAACTTCACGCAATTATTTATAAATCGGATGATCGTCACCTCTGAAGTACTAAAAATATTCTTATATGGTTAAAATATTCGTACGAGAAGGAAAAAATTTGTTTTCAATCTTCGATATCTTGTAACAGGATTTCGAGGATTCCGTAACGGTTTAAGAGGCAGATAATTCTTCGATGCACGTGGGGGAAACACGTGTTGCAGTTTTGGACATCGTATTATGGAGAAATCTTCGACGTTGCCATTGTACCAACTTCATGTGCTGTAGAGGCACATAAAAGTAAGGAAAAAGTGGAAAGCATAGGTTAGGTCCGAGCTATTGTAAAATAAAGAGTTTTACTGGTGGAAAGAAGTCTCGAAAGAAAATATCTATTTTCATACGCTTTTTTGTTTCTACTATTTGTGACATATAGTGATCCAAAACGATGATCTGTATTTATTTAAAACTTTAAAATTGTATTTATTATAAACTTCGATGTATAGAATTCAGAGAATTCTAACGTAACGATGTAATATAAAAATTTCTTTATTTCTCATAATATGTTTAGGCTAATTATGATTTGGAACGATAATAATTGTATGTATATGAACAAGCTAGATACCAAAGATATATTAATATTATTATATCGAAATAATCAATAGTTTAGAAAATATTTCAACTTCCAGTCCTGGATGATTATCCTAACATGACTTCATAAATGAAAATAACTATTACGATTTTGAATATTCAAATTATAGCTCTTCCACTATTATGTAGCGTGTGATGTTAGAATTGTCAACAAAGCGTTTGAAGTGGAAATAGGCGGTCCTAGCGAAGGACCCCTCTTGCTCCTCTGCCGTCCCGCGCGACTTTTTTTCACCAGTAAACATTATCCGGATCCGACGTTGTTCTTTCAACGAAATATGTGCATGAGTGTGACCTAGGCACGTGTCTCGCAACATTCTACGTCAATAATCTGAAAAGAAATTTTAAAAGAAAAGAAATTCGTACGAATAATAGCGAATTTATCAAGCTTTTCCTGTCCTACATATTCATTTGTGTTAATAACAAAACATGCTTCTCGCAACTTCGCCCACTGTCAATAACAGATGCGAGTAACAGGACAACAATTTTCCCGACCTTCTAGTACGTTCTGCGTCGAAACATCGTTAAGCACGTTTAGTCCGATTTGGAAACACATGAAACGATAAGCACGTGTTAAACGATTCAACGATTAAGAAAATGATCTGTTATTTTCATATTCGAACGTGTGCACATATATCTGTGCAACAAATATTCCCAGACAATTATATCTATCTCCATTCACAAACAAATTGAAAAATGATCGGTTGATGAAAATTTTCTGTCGTGTAAATAAACAGTGCGCATGCTTCGTGTGCGTCCACCATATTGCACGGACTAACCGTTTCACCTTTTAACAACTGATCGATGTTCTAAATTAGGAATTATAATCGTAAAAATATATCGTAGAATTTTTTCAATGTTTTTTTCTACGCTATATTCCTACTTGCGTAATAAGTCGAAATTCGAAATCGGATGGCAACCGTTGCCGTGTTGCGTCAATTTTTTCGATGAAAATTCGATCTAATCGCGATAATTCGTAAAATAAGCACGTTACAATTGAAACAAACGTCGAAATTGGCAAAATTTATTACATCCACACGGTATAGACGCCAACAAACTACGTAATTCGCGCGTAATGCGTTAGAAGAAAGACACGGTGAAAGTATAATTTAACGCACTGGTGAATATATATACACAATTGAAAGTTCCAATAAGGGTTCTCGAAAATGAATTCGTTCGAATTATATCGTGAAACATTGATTTGTACTGGAATTTTATTTATACCCGATAATAACGTAATTTTAATAGCGTTATCTTATCGCGTTGAATACTATTTTTTATCTTGCCTTAAGAATTAAATTTAAGATGATCGTGAGTAATAATAGAACTGAAAATTTTCCTAATTTATACGTCAAATAATCATCGGAACGAGAGGATCCGATATAGATCACACGGATTGCACAGAGAAGAAACGCGTTAAGCGAGTTTACGAAATTTCGTTAACCGCTAAATAAAAAAAAAGGATTACAAGGATGGACGAGGATGGAGCGTAAAAGTTGGTACACGGTTTGCTGAATTTCGAGCCCAAGGCTCTTCTCTTGGTCTTCAACGGACTCGACCGAACCTTACTAATCGCCTGTGTTTTTTGCCCGCTTAACTTATCTTACCGGAAATTACGAGCTTCCAACGGAAGTCTTGCGGTCGGTCTACCAGTAGGAAACGTTGGCCAAGAATCGAATTCTCGTGTTAGGAAACGTGTTTATAAAATTTCACCTTTCCTTCAAAATTTCGAATTCGAATTTTCTCCGCGAGAAAGATAAGATAACGGGAGGGAGACGACGACGACGAAATTCTCGAACACTCATTTAAGCAATTTAATGACTTAGTTCGTGCGACGTACGTACGACTTTTTTCTCTGAAACGACGAGAAGGATAATAACAATTATTTCGAAGTAGGGAGGGAAAAAGACTTATATAGAATAAAATTTCATTCGTCACTCGTTACTTCGAATGGAACACTGAGCTCAACTCATCGGCGAGGAATGGGATCACCATGCCCGCTTTCAGCCGTAGAAACTGGAGTGTTGTTAAACAGGGGATAATCGCAGTCACTTAAAGTCAATGCTGTGCAAAAAGATGGCAGGTGTAGCTTTTACAATGGGACAAAAATAGAACGCTTGGATTGCCATACAATGACATTCAACAATTACGTAAGACTTGTTTCATCAAGTGTTACTGTATAACTAATAATTGCTCACCGATATATATATTTATATATATGGTGTAACGAAACACAACGAATTCTATAAAACAACGAAATATCGTATTATCATTTTCTAAACATAAAAATGGTTAAGAATACGCACGTAAAAAAAGGCACGTGCGCGCAGTGACTTTTCAAGGTCTTTTTTTATTCAACCACCTTTGGAATAAAATGTGTAAGATTGAATTTTTTTTTTTTTTTTATTTTCCTACTAAAATTATCTTGTCGTCCAATTTAATGTTCCGGCTTGTTCCATGAAAAGCATCGATTGTCGCGCTATTTCAAAAATTATTCTTTAACGACTTATATAACTTAACGATCCTCTCTCGAACGATGTTGCTATGAATATTTATAGGAACAAATCGTATCAAAATATCTTCCAGAGTAGAAGAAAAGAGATATTTATTATTAATTAAATGCGATAAATAATAATGCGGTATTATATTTCGAAATTTCGATATTGAAAACGTGTATCAACATGTTCACGTATTCAGGCTCGAATGGAAAACAACAAAAAACAGTTATGATATCATCGTTTAAAATCGAATCACAATGAAAAACTGTGTACTACGCGAGATAAAATTTTGTTTTTTTTTTTATCAAAATCTAACTTCTTTTCTGGAATTTTTTTCAATTTCTCCTACCTCTTCCTCCTTGAAGAAGGTGATTTGAAGATTAGAAACAATCAATATTTATAAAAATTTCCGATGATTAATCTGATTAAATCAATCAGCAGCTTATCGGAATCAACTCGTGCTTTCTTTCAATCATTGAATAGAATTAAAAAAAAAAATATATTTTAATCGATCGATACCGATGATCCTATATTTAGCATCTTGCTAGATGAAGTAAGAGGAAATCTAATTGTTTATAATCGAACTATTGTATTCGATCAAAGGAGGGAAAAAAAAAAAAAAAAGATTGATAATGGATAGAAGAAAAATATGATAATTGCAATGGCCTCGTGTCGTTGGAAAATTATTAATGGAACTGGTTCATATAACGATAACAATAATAATAATAATGATAATAATAATAGTAATAATAACGAAAAAAAAAAAAAAAAGGAAATCTATCGAAACAAAGTTAATGGAAAAGTTCAATTGACCATTATTAGCATAAGTAACGCGATTTTAAAATGCAAGAGTTAATTGCATATTCAAACGAGTATTATTCGTTATACGTAATACGATAATGCAAAAAAAAAAAAAAAAAGATAAAAAAAAGAAAAAAGTATATTTACACAGAGATTATCCAAGTTTCAAATTATTATTATTTAAATATATAATTCGAATTGCTTCAATTCGTAATTTACCATCAGCTTGAGGTATTGATTGTTTCCAAAATACGATAACGCAAAAAAAAGAAAAAAAAGAAAAAAAGTATATTTACACAGAGATTATCCAAATTTCGAATTATTATTATTATTATTATTATTTGAATATATAAATCCGAATTGCTTCAATTCGTAATTTTTTTACCATTAGCTTGAGGTATTAATTGTTTGCAGAATTCGATAATGCAAAAAAAAAAAAAAATATATATATTTGCACAGAGATTATCCAAGTTTCGAATTATTATTATTATTATTATTTGAATATAATTCGAATTGCTTCAATTCGATTAATTTACCATCAGCTTGGGGTGTATTGATTGTTTGCAGAATAAGATTCA